CCCCGCTCACCGTTCCTCACCTGCAGTTGGGGGACAGGGCAGCCTCAGGCTCCCCCCCCTGCCACAGAGCCCCCCCGGGGGGCTGAGGGGCTCCCTGAGCCCCCCGAGGCCGCCCTGCCCGAGGAAGGGCTTTTACAGGCCAATAAAGAGCATTTTCCAAGGGTGAGCAGCCTCCTGGTCCTCATTCAGCACGGGAGGGGGGAGCTGGGGAGGGGGGGGGGCTGCAGCTGGGACCCCCCAACCCAAACCGAGTTCCTGCCATCACCACTGAGGGGCCAAGGGCCACCCCACCGACCCCAACGGGACCCCGGAGCAGCCCCGGGTGGGGTGGGGGCACCATCCCCTGACCCCCCTCCTCACGTCCTGCAGAGGGAGGGAGGTGAAAGGCTCGGGGTTTGTTAATAAAAACATTTATTTTGCATTTTGTTGTTGTTTGTACAGAAGTGCCCAAGAGCTGTGAGGGGGCTGGGGGGGGTCCCAGCTCTGGCTCCTGGGGGCTTCAGACAGGGAGGGGGGGTCACACAAACACGGGGGCGCGGCCGGGGAGGAGTGTATCGAGTCCCTGTGGGAGGGCCTGGACACGAGTCTGGACTGAACCCTCTCGGGGGGGGGCTGTGCCCCCCCACGGCCTCACCAGGACCACCCCCAGCCCAGCAGTGGGGGAGCCGGGGGGCTCCCAGTGTGTGGGGAGTCGGGGGGCTCCCTGTGTGCGCAGTGAGTGCTGCTGGGGTGGGGTGGGGGCACAGGAGACCCCCCTCACCTCACAGGGGTGGGGAGAGCCAGGGGTGGGGCAGGGGAGGGGGAGCAGCCGGGGGGGCTCCGCTCACCCCGAGGAGCCCCCGGCGGTGCCCGGGGGGGGTTCAGTGCCGAGGGCGTCCGGGCCGGGCCCGGCAGCGCAATGTTCCCTGGGGAGCACGAGCCGCGGCCCTGTCCCCGTCCCTTCTTTACCCGGATTTGTAGCCCACGAGCTGCATCAGGCCCTTGGTGCTCATGGATTTGGGCCTCTCCAGGGGGAATCCCAGCGCCCGGCTCCAGATGAGCTGAGAGAGGACGCCCAGGGCTCGGGACACCCCGAACAGCACCGTGTAATAATTCATCTCCTTCATCCCGTAGTACTGTGGGGGGAGAGGGGAGTCAGGGCAGAGAGGGGGGAACCAGGAGCCCTCCAGATGCCCAGGACAGGGAACACGGAGAGATGGGACGGGCAGACAGGCAGAGCGACAGACTGACAGGGAGAGGGACACACAGCTCCCCGGGCCCCCAGGCTCACCTGCAGTAGGACCCCACTGTGGGCATCCACGTTGGGCCAGGGGTTCTTGGCCTTGCCCTGCTCCAGCAGCACGTTGGGGACGATCTTGTAGAGCTGAGCCACGAGCTTGAACAGGGGGTCCTTGGGCAGGTGCTTGAGGGCGAATTCCCGCTGGCAGGTGTAGCGGGGGTCCGTCTTCCGCAGCACCGCGTGTCCGTATCCCGGCACCACCTGCAAGGACGGGGGTCAGAGCCCGGCAACTGCCCCGCAGCACAGCCCCAGCATGGCCCTCAGCTGGACCCCCAGCATGGCCCTCAGACCCTCAGCTCAGCACCCTGGCCTGGCCCCTGGCTCACCCTGCCCGAGTTGAGCGTGTTCCAGATGAAATCACGCAGCTTCTCATCTGACACCTCCTTGCCCAGCTCCTTCTGAAGGTCAGTCAGCCAGAGCAGCACCTCCTGCAGGAACGGCCCAAGTGAGGCCAGTGGGGCACAGAGAGACAGACAGCGAGAGGGACAGAGGGACAGGGAGAGGGGCCCACCTGGTTGGCGAGGCCGTGCAGGGGCCCGGCCAGCCCGTTCATGGCGGCGGCGAAGGCGAGGTACGGGTCAGACAGGGCGCTGCCGACCAGGTGACTGGTGTGGGCACTCACGTTCCCTCCCTCGTGGTCACTGCATGGGCGAGGGGGGCATCAGGACTCCGCCATCCCCACCAAATACCCTCCAAGGCATTCTGGGCGGGCCACAGCGTTCCCAGCCTCGTACAGCCCTACCCCAGTGGCCCTTGCTGTGTTCCCAGTGCCGCCCCTGGAGCGGCCCAGGCATGTCCCGGGAGCCGGTCCTGTCCCTGCCCCGGGCTGGGAGCGGGGCCAAGTCCCCCCCTGCTCCAGGTGCCGCTGCTGCCTCCCTACCTGTGGATGGTGAGGTAGAGCCGCATCAGCTCGATGAACTGGGGGTCAGTGTAGCCCAGCATGTTGGTGAAGTTGTGGGACCAGTCGAGGTTGGGGTCGATGGCCCCGATGCCGCTGCCCTCCCGGTACAGGTTGCGGTAGATCTTGGCGGCGACGCACGGCAGCTTCGCAATCAGGTCCATGGCGTCCTCGTACACAAACTGGCGCCGGGGGGGTGAGAGGGGGCAGCTGCCCTCCCCCCCAGCCCCCTGCCCCCAAACCTGCCCCCAAACCTGCCCCGCACGGCCGGGGGCCCCCCCGTACCTCCCAGTACTTGGCGCGGTGGATGCCCTCGGCGTAGGCGCGGGCGAACTTGCTCTCGCTGTTGAGGGCGGTGACGGCCGCGCTCAGCTGGGACATGGGGTGCAGGTTGGTGGGGAAGTTGTCCAGCATGGTCACCACGTGGGAGGGCAGAGCAGCGCGCCGGGCCCACTCCTTGGACAGCCAGCTCACCTGCGGAGGAGGGGGGGTCACGGGGGCTCGGCCGAGGGGCTGGGGGCTGCCAGACCCCCGCCAGCCCCCTTCTTACCTGCTCCTGGGTGGGGATGTCTCCTGTCACCAGCAGCCAGAAGAGCCCCTCAGGCAGCGGCTCCTCTCCCCCTGCAGCTTTGGGCAGCTTCTTCTGGCACTCGGGGATGCTGTACCCGCGGAAGCGGATGCCCTGCGGAGCCCGGCACGAGCGTCAGCCCAGCAGGGCCAGTGCCGGGGTGGGATGGGGTGGGATGGGGTCCTACCTCGTCAGGATCCAGCACAGAGGTCTCGTAGATCAGTCCCTTCATGCCCCTCATCCCGCCATAAACCTGGAACGGGGAGTGAGGCCACAGTGAGGGGCTGTGGCGCAGCCCGGTGTCCCCCCACGCCCCCCGTGCCCCCCACTCACCATGTCCACCGTGATCTGCCCGATGGTCGTGCTGCCGTGCTGCTGCCGGAAGCTCTTGATCTTCGCCTGCTCCTTGGGGATCATGGTGGCCAGGACATCTTTGAGGTTCTGGGGAGAAGGGAGTGGGCCGTGAGCTGGGGGCCGAGCACAGGACAGGGGGTGACAGGAGAGGGTTTCACAGAGCAGGGTCCCCCCTTACCGTGGCAGCGCTGGCGTGGCGGGCGGCCAAGAGGACACACGGTGCATTCTGTGGAAGAGCAGACACAGAGACCCCCCGTGTTAGCAGAGCAGAGCCCCCCGTGCCCCCCGGCTGCCCCGTTTTGGGGGGTGCAGCTGTACATGGAGCCCCCAGCCCTGGCTCTGTGACGGGAGCCCTGTGACCCCGTGAGATCCCAGCTCCCAGGGGCCGTGCCCGGCGGCTGGAGCCGCTTCCCTCGCCCACACGGATCAGGGCCGGGGTGAGGGATCAGGGCCGGGTGAGCCGGGGCAGCGCAGCCCCCCCCCCACATTCCCATCACGCACAACGGCAGCCGGACCCGGACCCGGACCCGGCACAGGGAATGCGGCTGCATTTCCCTTCCCGGAGCCGAGCACGGCAGCCCTGGCACACGGCAGCCCTGGCACAGCCGGAGCCCAGCCCGGCCAGGCCGCGGTTTTCCTGTGCCGGGGAATCCGAACTTTGTTCCTCGCCCACGCGTGGGAACCGTGGGAACCGCGGGGACTCCGGCCGGGAACACCCTGGGAACACCCCGGGCCTGGCAGCGCCCTGCCCTGGGCAAAGGGGGCAAAGGGGGACTGGGGGACACCGGGGGTCGCCGTGCCGGGGAGGGGGGGTCACACCCACAGGGACACCCCGATCCTCCCGGGGGGAGCTGCGGCAGCGCCTGCGGCAGAGCCAGAACATGACTCGGTTTTTCCACTGGCTGCCGGGAGGGGAGGGCGCGGGGGGGGCGCGGGGGGGTCACCGCAGCGAACCCCCGGCGTGGGCCCCCCCGCACCCCCGGCGTGGGACCCCAACACCCCCAAGTGTGGCCGTGGCGGGCGACAGGGCCGTGTCCCCCCGCAACAGGCGGCTCCGGGAAGGGAAAATGCCGGAGGAGGAACAATGGAGGCGGCTCCGGGAAGCCCAAGGTCAAGGCGGCCGCTGTCGCCGCCGCGGGGGCCCCGTGTCACCCCCAGTGTCACCCCCCGTGTCACCCCCGTGCCACCCCGGTGCCACCGCGCTGCGGGGCTCCCCGCGGCTCGTCCCGCTGTCACCCGGCTCAAGGTCACACGTGCTGGCGGTGACACCGGGCACCGGCTGGGGGTGGGGGGCACCGGGACCCTCGGGGGCCCCCGCCGTGGTCGGGGGGTGCGGGGGCTCCCCGGCCCGAGGGTGCGGGGTCGGGCCGCGGGGAGGAGGAGGAGGCGAAGGGTCGGGATCGGGGCTCAGCCCGGCGGGGCGGCCCCCGCGGGGGTGGGGGGGGAGCGGGGCCAAGTGGGGCATCAAAACACGGCGGGCCGGGCCCCTGCTCCCAAAATATCGCCCGGTCGATAGAGAAACCGCAGAGCCCGTTATGAAACGCCGGGGCCGCGGCCAAGGCAAACAGCCCGGGGGGGCCGGGGCCGCCCCAGCCCGGTACCGGCGCTCAGCCCCCCCCCGGGGGTCCCCTCGCGGTGACCCCGTTGTCCTCTACGGCACCGGGACGCCGGGGGAGGCGGGGGGGGGCGGTGGAGGGGGGTCATCGCCCCCCACTCCCCGCTACCGGTGCCGCCGGGCGGGACCCCCTCGGGGGCCGGTGCTGCAGCGCAGCCGTACAACGGGGGAGCGGCGGGGCCGGAGCCCCCAGCGGGGCCTGCCCCAGGGCGGGGACCCCCCGACGGGGTTGCAGCAGCGGCGGAGCCCCCGAAACAGCGTTCGGGCCCGGAGCCCCCGATTCCTCGCCGGCTCCGACAGGGCCGCGGCGCGGGCACTCCCAGCCGAGCCGGTGCCCACCACGTGCCGCTGCGGCCCCGCGCCCCCCGGTCCCGTCCCCCCCCCGCCGCCACCGCGCGGCCCCTTTAAGGCAGCGCCCCCCACATCGCCCCTTTAAGAACCGAACCCCCCCCTTATCCCCCCCCTGCGGCGTCGCCCCTTTAAGGCGCGGCGAGGCCGGGCCGGGCGCTCTCACCTTGGGCCCGCGGAGGCGCGCGGCCGCCCGGCTGCCGGCGGCGAGGAGCGTCATGGCGGCACCGGGACGGGACAGGCCGGGACGGAGCGGGAGCGGGACCGGGAGCGGGACCGGGAGCGGGGCGGGAGCGGGGCCGGAGCGGCGGCGGCGGCGGCCGGGGGTCCTCAGCGCGCGGGCGGGGCGCGGCGCGGCGCTGCATTAGCATAGCCCCGCCCTCCTCGTGGCAGAGCCGCTCGCTATTGGCCGCGCCGCGCGCCGCGGGGCGGGGATAGGCAAATGAGGCGGCGGGGGCCGCGGGCTATAGGTGGCCGCCGCGTTCGCCTGATTCAGGACTAAGGGTGGGGTGAGGCGCCGCCCGCCCCCTCTGTCGCGACGTCACCGGCCGCAGTGCGTGACGTCATGCCCTGTGTCATCCTCACGGTGTTTCGGTGTGGCTCGGCTGCGGTGCCGGGGCAGCCCCGTGAGGTCACCGGGCATCCGGCCATGTGCTGTGAGGTCATCACAGGCCATGACGTCATCCCACGCCCGGCCACAGTGGCCTATAGGTTGCAGGGCCCCGGCTCAGCAGTGACCTCGGGGGTGGCGTGTGGCCAGCATTGCCCTGAGTGACCCCGGTGCAATCAATGGGTGACATGAGGTGACAAGGGGTGACATGAAACCAGGGGCTGACCAGAATCACCTGAGCAATGTCCCCACCCCAAGGCTGAGCCACAGCAGGTGGACACTGACCACAAGGGAGCTCGAGTCACCTGGGGACACTAAGGTGCCACCGCTGTCCCCACGCCCCCCACCCCGCCCCACACACACCAGAGCGAGACCCTCGGGCGGGCCCACGGCCCCTTTATTGCCTGCAGCAGGGACGGGGGTCCCCAAGCCCCCTGCCCCAAGGGGGGCCGAGCCCCAGTGTCTCCCCCGCGCCCCCCGGCAGTGAGGCAGGAATGTCCCTGAAAATGTCCTGGCAGCAGTGAGGACACGGCCTCACCCCACGGCCGCCCCGGGGAATAAACAGGACGGGAGCTCCGGACGGGGTGAGGCAGCACCGGCTCCAGCGCCGTGGGTTTCCCTGGCAGGTCCGTCCGTCCTGGCGGGGATGAGGCACACGGGGACATCCCGGTGGATCCTGGTGCTGTCCCGGTCCCGGCGAGGCCACCGGGCAGCGTGGTCCAGAGGCAGCTGGGGCATCACAGCTCGTCGTGTGGGATGTGGAGCGCGTGGTCACACAGGTCTGCGGGGACAAGGGGCTGCGCTCAGGGCACGGCAGGACCCCGGGGGAGCCCCAGGACAGGGGGGAGACCGGTGGAATCCTCGGGAGGCACCGGAGCCCTGCGGGCCCCCCCGTGGTGCCACATCCCACCACGCCCCAGTGCCCGTCCCAGCCGTGACCTGAGCTGGAGCCACCTGCACTTCCCTGGCTTTGCCCTGTGGTTAATGACAAACTTGGATGTTTGGGCAGCACTGACCCCTCCCCACCCCGGCCCCTGGACACAGGATGAGCCACAGGAGCAGCTGGAAAGACCCCCAGGACACCCTGGGAAAGAGCATTTCCCTCATGCCTGTGCCAGGTACAAAGGGACCCACCCTGGCCCAGCTCTGGGGGCCACATTCAGCACTGGAAAGACCCAAAGGTCATGGTGTGCCCTGACCCAGTTGTTTGTGAGCTGGAAATAGCCCCCGGGACGGGAGATGGTGCCATGGGCTGTGCCAGGAGAGACCATGGAGCCACAGAGCAGCTGCCCTGGCTCGGCCCCAGCACCCAAAAAAAGCTCCAGCAGCAGCAGGGTCTGGGCACTGGGCTGGCAGTAGCACCTCAGCACCGGGATTTTGGGAAGAACCTGCAGCTCCTCCTGTCCCAACCCTGACAGAGCAGCCACGACCCCCAGAACAGCAGAGACTCCCCTGGCTCACCCGTCCTCTTGCTGCAGAGCCGATCCTTGACATTTTCAGCCTCGTGGGACAGAAACTCAATGAGCTCATCCTCGTATTCCTCAGCGATGCTCTCGCACTGCAACGGGAACCACGGCGGTCACGGGACACCAAGGGACACCAAGAGAGCCCCGGGGAGCCCAGGGGGAACCGGTGACACCAACACACCCCCGGAGAGCCCCTCTCCCAGCAAACGCCACGAGGGCCCCCCCACACACCGCGAACTTCAGGCTGGAAGTCACGTCCCCGTCGAACTTGACCCCAGAGAGGTTCATCTTGGTGCCGTCGTGGGAGATCACCCGCACGTAGCTCTTCCTGTGCGTGGCCTGGTCCGTTTTCTCCCCGTACTCCTTCATCTTCTCGCACACCCGCTCCAGCAGCTCCGTCAGATGCGCCTCCGAGCGCGCGTACGGCACCTGCGGCCGCCGGGGAGGGTCAGTGGGGCCGGGGCAGGACAAGGGAGCTCCGGGAGCGCTGGGAGACGCCTCCTCACCTCCACGACCGACTGGCTGCCGTCGGGGTTGATGCGGAACGAGCCCATCTGGATGGTTTTCCTGGGGTCCACCTGGGAGATCTCCCACTCCAGCTCATCCACCAGTGCCCGGCACGCTGAGGGGGGCACAGGGGTCAGGGGGGTCCCAGCTCGGACACACATGGAGCCACTGGGAGGGACTGGTGGGACTGGTGCAGACTGGGAGGGGTGG